GTAAAAAAAATAATAAAGATAAATAAAATAAATCTTTTAAAAATAAATAAATAAAAACAAAAAAAATAAAAGCAATCACAAATTTACTCATGATTCAGTTATTTGCCCTATATCCTCTTCCCAACTCCTAAGTGTTCGTTAGGCAAGACTGCTAGAGATGCAGAGACTTCTTTAGTAACCTAGAAATCATAGGACAGTCTATTCTTTCACTCACTCAATAAAAAAATTTACTCTTTGTGTTTAGTTGCTCCATTGGCTAGTCTCTGTTTATAACTTCTGTTAGTTACATTTGAATGCAACAGATACTTTTTAAGCTCCTACAAAGTGTCTGGAACTGGACTAGAATCCAAATAAGATGTTCTTTCGAACTATGACAGGAATCATTGTGAAAATATCAAGGAAGGATGCAATGAGACCTACTGTGTGAGCACGTGCATGTGAGTGGCTGTGTAATTTGCAGGGTGTGGGAAGTGCTCATCTACTTTTGGGAGTAGAGGTCAGGAAATGCTGATCCAAAAGACTAACATTTGCACTAGACCTAAAGAATGAATAAGAGTAAGTAAAGTTATGAAAAGTGCAGTCCTGGCTGAACAAGGGCCTACTGGAATGTTCTAAGAATTCAAGGGGACGGAGACCCACGTGCCCTGTGCAATCATGCAGCACCGGCTTCAGACCACATTCAAAATGATGAATGCTGTCCTGCAAGGGGGGTGCAAAGAGAAGTGGTTGGAAGGGCAAGAGTGAAGCATTATAGCAGACCCCACCATAGCAGACACTACCTGAGCTGTGAATAACTCTGACTGACTTGTTTCAAACTCCCTTGGCTACCCAACACCCTGCTTCTTCCACAAACAGGTGTCTGGAAGGAAGAGAATGAGCCAAAAAGCTAGTCCCACAAACCTGCAGGTCAGCTCCTTGACATCATCAGCCATCGTCACCAGAGCCTGCTACAGAAAAAGGCCGAGACTTCTCCCAGCAGAAGGAAAAAGTTCCATTTGTAGCTCTGGTGACAAATGGTCTCAGCAGCCTAGCCCTCTCAGTTCAAGGCTAACTTACTACAGTAGTTGTGGTAAAGACTTGTGCCTGTACTTGATCATCCCTCAATTTTTCAAGCGTAAAGAATTTGGGCTCATGTTTTGTAAATAGTGTAGAAGGTCAGTATTTTTGTTGACACTTTGGTGTAATACCCAGGCAGAATAACAACATGAAGAAATAATAGTGTAACAATAACAAAAGAGTATTGGCTATGAAAATAGCAGTGCTAGACATTTTGTACTAAATGAGTTGCTACCAATACATACTGTGTTCCTATTAGCATCTGTCAAAACCAGGAATTAAAACATCTGTCCAGCATTGTAGATTATTGGAGATCCATTAGATGTAGTGTGTGTTAGAAACAAACAGAAATGTGCTCTGTGGGGGAAGGAAAGGCACTTGACAGAGACTTCAGGACCCATGATGCTTGGATAAGAGAAGAGCTACTTTCTCAAGTGGAAAAGATAATCCAATCAGATTTCAGGATAATGAGAGCCTTGCGGGCAGAGCCACAAGATGAGCTGTGTGACCCTGAGCAAGACTTTTTCCCTCTTGGCGGCTCCATTTCTACATTTGTAAATGGGGGCTGCAGATGAGAATATGGGAAGTATATTTCAGCCTCCAAGATCTCTCCGTTAAACACTTTATGTTCCCACGAGTCTTGACTGCCACACTGTAACAAAGTGGCCACTAAGCATGTGTGGCTATTTAGATAAAATTAAATTGAATTTAAAATAAAATTGCAGTTTCACATTTCAAGTGCTCAGTAGTAGATGCAGGTAAAGGCTACTAATTGGGTGGTATAGAAAGAGAACGTTTCCATGTGACAGCATTTTATTGGAAAGTTCTGTTCTTTTTCTTAAAAAAATTACAATTATTGTAAAATTACAATAACCTCATACTACTTATCACTGCCACTTATACTACTAAGACTTGATATTTATTGAGCACCAGCATTGTTAGAATTGTGCCAAAGTAATTTTGATTTAATTCTCACAACAGCCTTCTGTCACAAATGAGGAAGACACTGAGAGCCTAGTCCCAGGAATGGTGGATCTAGGACTTGAGTCCACTGACCAGATTCATCCAGAGCCCCAGATGTTTCATACTGACTCCAAGGGTGGTGTCTGGTGTCCTTCCCTTGTGGCCAAGTCTCATGAATCCTCAAAATCTTCTGGTGTCTGCTGGGCCTTTGCACAGATGTTGTCTAAGACCCTGTTCCCCTCCTTTTCTTTCCATGGAAACTAACTATTTATTCCTTAAAAACTAACTGAAATATCAAATAGTTATCTGCTTTGGGTTTATGTTACATTTCATTCATACCTCACACCCAGAACCCACCAGGCTTTATTAAAGTATTATATTATTTAGCCTAGTTTAGTCCAGTCCTGTCTTCTACCAGACTGTGCTGCACTTTTTTTTTTTTTAAAGATTTATTTTTATTTATTTATACAAGCACTGGGTACAGTCAGAAGCACGGGAGGGTGAGAGAATTCATCAGAGCCAGAGCAGGGAGCAGAACAGGCAGAAGGACCGAAGTACACTGCTGAGGGGAGCAGTGGGCGGCAGGAGAGGTCTGCGCGCCATGTGTGACCCTCCTGCGGTGGCCGGGGAGCAGCCGGGGATCGAACCGGCGCTGCAGAGGCTGCGGGCAGCTTCGCAACCCAGCGCTCAACTGCTGCGCCACCGGGGAGGCCCTGTGCTGTACTTTTTTTAAGATGAAATTTGTGCCTCAATCATTTCATATACCCTCAGGGAAAAATAAGGAGCTGAATCAATGTTTACTAAAAAAAATTGAAATAATCTATCTATGATTAAGAGTAACAACCATCTTTTCCAAATATTCCAGTTGATCTAAATGCTTTCCATTGTTCTTGGAACTTGTTTGGATGCATTCATTATCTCCAAGCAGAAGGTTCCAGGTCCTTCAGGCAGAGAGAAAAGTTAAATACAAATACATGTGCACAAATACATACATACATACATACTAATTATTCTGGAGACAAGTTGTTCTTCCCACGCCTCTCTGCAAGCAGGCTTCCACTCACAGGCAAGGAGATGCTGCTACCTCCCATCCATTCTAGTGGAGTTCCGCTCACATTTTCCACCCACATCAGGCCTGGGCGGTGTGCTGGGCTACCTGCCTATGGTGACAGAGGTCACTTGGAAATAGTGCAGGCCTATCAGGGTGGAGCTTGCCTTCTATTTCGATTCAAGCACTCCCAAAACAATAGGACTGCAGCTGCTTTTGGAAGTTGTTAAAGTTATTCACAAGGGCCTTCATGCACTGTAAAAAGACACCTGGCAACACACATTCTCCCAAGAAGCAGAACAGCACGGCCCCCTTCCCCCTCCCCCATGCTCTGCCCTGCAGTTCTTCACCTAGACACAGCGCAGAAAAAAAGTTATTCTGGCCTTTCTTGACCTCTAAAGTCACAGAAGCACCTGTATTGGAGGTCATCTTTATGCTTCTGCATTGTAAGAAGTGCTGGCCTAGACCCAAATGCAAGAAACAAAACAAAACCCTAATCAATCAACCTAAACAAACAAGTCAACAAACAAACAAATAATATGGATTACTACTGAACAGAGTGTTGAAAGAGAAATATTATTTATTGAAGAGCTCCTGTGTTATGGCAATTTCCCAAAGAAATCAGGCGGCGCTCAGATTTATCTGTCACACCTGAGGGTTCAGTGGGATAGCTCCCAAAAGGTCTGAACCCTGAATTGCAGGAATGGTAAGGTTTTATACAGTCTGTATGCGGAAGCTTGTCACCCCATCTATCATAGACTTTATTGTTTGGGAAGGGGGTCAAGGTAGCTGTGGCTACTACGGTGGGCATGCAGCACACCACAGGAACTTGCCGCTCCAGCACGCAACAGAAGCCAAGCAGCAGATTTAGCAACTTCCTTTTTCACCTGCATATCAGTTATTCTATGTAAATTATTTGCCTGAAATCCAACAATCCTAAAGGTATGATCGATGATCACGCTTTATAGATGAAGACAATGAAGTGCAGAAAAGAAACGTCAAATAGAAAGAGTATGAGTTTAGTGGCAGTGAGATCTGTATTCAAATTTAGGGCACTCATTCTGTGGCTTTAGACACATAACCTTAAATCTATTTTCTCACCTGGAAATAGACACTAGTAGTAGCAACCTTTCAGGGCTGTTGTAGGGTAAGATAAGAAAACATCTTAATGTGCCTAACATAGTGGCTGGCACTTTATTTGCTGTAATGTTAGTTTCTCTTTTTCTTGTGTGCAAATGGCAGAGTTGGGATTGGGATTCACAAGCAGGGTCATGGGTGCCAAATCCAATTTCTTTTCTGAGCTGTGCCTCTACCACTACAGTGAGGGAATCAAACCAGCTGAACTTGAATGGTTCTTTCCTGGGTATTAGCAAAACACTCTCTTATTTTATGTATCTATGCCCAGATGTAAATATTTTAAAAGTCAAAATAAAAATACATAAATCATGCATCTCCCAGTGCATTATGATGTGCCTTCAGTACAGCCTGATCATAAAAATATCTCTGCCAACCACTTAATGTCATGGAACTACTTAGGGAAAAAGGTTTAACATTGGCAAAAGATAATAGAATAAAGTTTCAGTTCCTAGGGAATTTGCGAAAAGCCAGTAAGATGTAGGGAGCAATAATAGCCTTTCTTGTCCTAAATCTCTCTCATAGTTCCCCTGTTCTGAAGCAGGCTATGTTCTTCTGGAAAGAAAAAGAAAATGCAATTCAATGAAAAAAGTTGTAAAAGTTGCAGTTAGAAATTGCTGGAGGATTTCAGTCTCAGTAGTTTTCTTGCTGGTGAGGCATATATTTATCCTATGCTTGGTATCAAGCAAGATAATGAAATTTTAGAAAAATTCTTCAAATCTAGACTGCAAGGGATGCATTATTTACATTATTTGTCTTTTACAGACAGCTTTCTCTCTGATGCATGAATCTGTCTTACCTGGAAATGTATTTCCAGACTGTGTGCCTCTTCCTACCTCCAGTGTCCTAAGAACAATGAAGAGACAGGTGTGGGTCAGTGAGCTGGTGCAAATATGCAGTCATTAGACTGGCATTGAATTCTGGCTTCACCCTTGCTCTGAGATTGGACAGGTCACTCCACTTTCTATACACCTTAATTTTTCTCATCTATATAAAGGGAGTACTATCTGACTGTCAGAACTTGTGAGGTTTGAGGGTTATTTTGTACCTGAAAGCTTTGTAGAACTCACAAGGTGCTATTTAAATGATTTTATTAGAATTTAAAGAGCAGGAGCCTGAAAAACTGTGTGCCAACATAGTATTTTCCATTTTAAAATTTGAATTCATAATGGTCACTAGTCTAATTAGTTTTGGATCAGTTTATTTTCTTTGAGCCTGGAGTTTGGAGAGCTTTACTAACAAGTGATTTTCAAAATGCTAAAATGCTGTTTAAAAATGTAGCTTTTCCTGATTTATTTCCCTTAGCATAAGCCCCTCCATTGTATATGTGTGTGTATATACACATATACATACATACACACACATATATGAGATTTTTCTAATAAGTCAGAAAGAGAAAGACAAATGCTGGATGGTGTCACTTATATGTGGAATATAGAGAAACAAGAAAAAGGATCAGGCAAAAGCAAACCAATAACAAATTCTAAAAACCTGACTATAGAATTAAGGCTTCCAGAGGAGGGGGAGAGGTAGAACAAAGTAGGAGGCACAATGGAACAAGATGGTGGGTGTGCTGTGGCAACATACATCCTAAGGGTGTGACCTTATACCTCTAAATCCACATACAGTGTTGTAAAACCATGTTACCTCAGTAATTAAAAAAAAAGAATTTGCAAATTTAAGAAATGCCATTTTGATGGTATTCTGCATAATGGGCTCTAGCAGAAATACCAAACCAAGAAACTAGGACACCCACGACCGACTCCCAGGGCTCTCAAAGACCACTTTCGTAACATATCTCTGAGCTGTTCTGTCCACACTTACTCTCTCGTCCATGGCTGAGATCTGGGCTTTGGAGGGTGACTTGAGGGTAAGGTGAATGCGTGCAAAAGCAATCCGTGCATTCAAAGCCATCAACCTAATAAAGTAGGGCCAGTACTACTGTCAGCATGACAGCGCAAGCACTAGGTCACTGCAGGAGCCTTATGAATTTTCAAAGGAAGAGTAAATCATTAAGTGGTCAAATTAATCACAGAATGAATATAAGATGTTTTTAACCTCCCTAAGACACAGAGTTCAAGTACTGGATACAATTAATGGATCTTTACCCAAGGAAAAAAATGTACAGAAGTATATACATGCAAAGCTAGATACAATTTTAGTTGTTTTGGATACAAAATGAGGTGTTCTTTTTTTTTTTTGTGGGACCCTCACCTGGGGCCAGGGAAGGAACCAATGTTGCAGAGGCTATGGGCAGCCTCGCAGCCCAGCACTCAACCACTGTGCCACCAGGGGAGGCCCTAAAATGAGGTGTTCTTAATGCTTATATATGGATCATTGAAGTGTTGGTAAACCTCAGGTTAAGAATCTGTTTTAGATCATAAAGAACAGATATTAAAGCTCATTTCCTTTAATCTTCTTACTTAAGAGATGACAAATGGAGATACAAAGTTTACCAAAGAATTTACCAGAAATGTTAAATGTAGTTTTAAAATAGCTTTTTCCCATTACAAAAAATGACAACCTGCATTATATAGAGAAAGCTCAGTTATTTGTAATATTTACCAGAACACTTAATTTGTCATTCTTATTAAATCAAGACAAGCTTATGAATATCTTATTCATTTTCCTTATCATAAATTGAATTTATATATTGAAAAGATGCCGTGTGGCAGGGAAGCACAGATTGAACTAATCTACTGTCCCATTTAAAGCCAAATTGTTAACATTTTTTGAAGGCAACTTAGTCTACCAGCACTTAAACCTTAACTCTTATGTGAATTTTGATCTAACTGTTAAGCAGATTCCCTGAATTTCCACCATGCCCAGCTAATTGCCTATGTTCTGTTAAATTCCTCATTGAAAAGAAAAGCCAAGGCTTGCTTATGCCCGATGCTAAAAAAAGTGCATTTTTATAAAACAAATTAAGGAAATATGAAAACAATATGATTTGTACTTAGGAGTCCTGGTATTGAACACCAATGTTCCCCTTGCAGATGGGGGTTTGGTGCCTGTTACTTAGCACTGTCATCACAACCAGCAGAAACTGCTCTCCTGACAGTGCAGCCGAGCTGGTTCATGTTTTCTGAACTTGGTGCTAGAATGGGCCATCAGTGTCACAAGTAAAAAGAAAATGAGCAGCCAGATCTGTGGAGTTTACATCAAGGTCCGATCAATCTGTTGCTTGCTTCGTATTTTCGTAACGGCAGCACTTTTTTTTTTTTTTTTTTTTTATTTGCTGGGCATCATGAGTCAAAGCCATTAAATTTGAGTTGTTAAAAACCTTGTAGTAAGTGCTTAGCCAAGAGCATAGCTGCTCTTTCAGATCCAAGCTGCTACCGTTGGTGAAGTTTGACTAGCATACAGCTTAAGAAAAAAGATAAATGATGTCACGGACTAGCAAAGATTTAGTGAAGGATGAACTGGGACATGTCAATGAAACTTGTGTCTCTAGTTCAATTTTTCTATGCTTTTCTAAAAACCCAATGCTGATTAAGTCAAAGGGAAACTGGGTTTTATCCCTAGAACTCATCCCTTCATACACCATCTCAGAACTGAGACTCCTTTAGTAGTGAATGAGATTTTTCTATTCATTGTGGGTATTAAGTTTAATGTTCAGAGGAGGTAGTCCAGATCTATTCATAGTTTCTGTCTCAAATACCAAGTAAAGTCTCAAGGAGCGGCCCATGTCACCTTGGGAGAGGAGGCGAGGTGGCCAGAGCAGCCATGGTAGAGTTGATAGTCTCCAAATTGGCAAGCTTGACTTGCCAGGAGAGAAACCTGCTTCATGAGATGTGACCCACTTTCCTGCCTCTTCCTGTTGAGCCCTTTGGGGTTCGAGGCCCAGCTGGCTCATCTGCTTTTCTCTGTCAGATGTCTCTGGAGAAGGCAGGATGGTCTCAGAAGTCTGTGGTGGTAAGGATCACTTTTCAAACTTCAAGGTTTCTTGTCATTTTTTTTCATTCTGGAAGAATTATCACAAAGCACAATCTTCTGTGGAAAAATTTGGTTAACCCAAGCATGTGGCCCACGTCAGATATATGAGCTGATGATCTATTCAGCTCTTATATAACATCAGATTTCCTGATTAACTCTTTTAATCTTAATTGTTTTAAAACAGACTCAAAGCTTCTAAAGCTCTTTACTGCTAGTCTCCTGGGCTCGGATGTTGAGTCCCAGGCTGTTTTACCACATTGCTTGGGCAAAACAATGGCTTGCTCTGGGATTTAAAAAATATAATGAGGTTGTTCTCTTGCTTTGTAACTTTTTATCTCAGCATGAGCTCAGTTCTTCTCAAGGAACTTTGTTCATAGTATCAAAGCCTTGAATTTTCTTATTCCTTTAAGAATAACCCAAATCAATGAAGGCTTTAGATAGTTGGGCTCTCACCTTTCTTGGACTATTTCTCTTGCCAATAGACACAAAACTATGCAAGGAATTAAATCTTCTATAAGTGAAATTATTTTTTCCCCTAAGGGAAAAGGTTTCAAATGTTGATTTCTCACTCATATTTGTAAGAAAGCTATAATTTAAAAAAATTTAATAGGAAACTATAGAACCAAATAAATGTCTATGTTCTACCTAATAAATATCCTACTTACTAATCAGAAGACATGGAAATATTTGTTGATAGCTGTTACATGTATAGAATATCCTGTTGTTTTTTTAAATAGGGAGGGAGAATTGAATTTTAAGTATTCCAATAACTGTGTACATTCATTAACTTTCTCTGAAAAAGATATTCTTTCTAGTCCTATGTGGTCTCCCCTTTTTAAATTCTTCTAATTATTTTAGTAAGGACAGATAATCCACAGATATCTATATTCACACATGAAACATACTCTTAAGATTGGCAGACTCAAATCCATTCTAGAAAGTCACAATTTCTGCCTTTTCCCATGAAAGATTCCTGAACCTCCTGTATCTCAACCCAACAATACATTAAATAGAACTGAGTAAAAGATGCCTTTTGGGGAATGGAGCTTGTTCTCCCTGCACACAGTGGAACTGCATATCTACCAAGCAATAAGCTTTGTGGGGAAAAAAAAAAAGAAGAGGCTATTCGCACTGATGTAACTTTTTGCTTCTGTTCTTTTCTTAACTTCACTTCAGGCACAAAGTTGAAAACAACAAATATTACACATGACAGGAAAGTGAAAGATGACCTCAAATTTTGTCTCATGCCTCCCAAATGGTATACAGGTGACTAGCCATTTTCAAACTAGAACTTTCCTGAAACTTAGGAAAGTCTCTTACAGTGAGCAGGTTGGCCAAGTAGCAGAACTACCATTGCTTAGGACAAGTCATTCAGGCTCTAAGGAGAGCCATTAGAAATCTTATTAATTTAGACCTTTGGTTTGCAATCAGTCTGCTAATTTTGGAACCAAGTGATGCCATTTCCTTCCTTCTCCATTTCTCCCTTCTTTTTACTTTTTTCCTCTGCTTTTGTTATATCCTGCTTGTCACACTGCCTGTGTGTTCTGTTTAGTGGTTAGGAACACTGTCTCCATATGCTATGTCTCCCTCCAACTCTGGTTGAGAAGCATCTGATTTAAACAGTTCCAACCAGCCTCTACCATTAGGAACTAAATCAATAATAAACAAATAAACAAATAAAAATATACTTAAGACAATAGCTCTTGTTGTCTCTAATATAAGTAGCTTATTATTGATTAAGCTATTAACTGTTTCTTTTGTTTGTGGGGGAATGTTAGATGTGATAATAATATAGCTGGTGTGGGTTGAACTGTGCCCTCTAAATAAGTATGTGTGTGTGTGTGTGTGTGTGTGTGTGTGTGTGTGTTTGTGTGGAGAGAGAGAGAGAGAAAGCCCAAACCCCTAATACC